AATTTAGAGTAGTGCATAGCTTCATTGCCCACTTTAGAGATATTCTTCCGACAACTCACACCATAGTTACTGCAGTTTATCAAATTCTGATTTAGGCATCCTTTCATGTTCTATTTGCAGTCAACAACTTTTTTCCACAAGTTATTTAATTCATTCCAATATCTTCACACCCATTTACCATGTAAGGATTTATTTAAAGTCTTTAAGGATCTCAAACCAAGGCCACCAGAACCGATGGGAGTTTTCATCTCTTCCCAATTTATGAGATGGAATTTTTTCTTATTTTCCTCATTTCCCCATAGGAATCTGCATTATATGCTTTTAAGGATTTTAACAACCTTTGTAGGGATGGTGAGGACGGAAAAATAGTAAGTTGGGAGGTTTGATAATGTGCTCTTGATCAAAATCAATCTCCCTCCCTTAGACAAGTAATTTTTTTCCAACCAACAAGACGTTTATCAAAAATATCAATTATTAGCTCCCAACTTTTTTTATCTTTATGTTTCGCTCCAAGAGGGACCCCAAGGTATTTGATGGGAAATGTTGTTCATTTGCACTTTAAAACCGAAGCAAGAGGTTCCACAATGTTGTTAATCCCAAAACACACCATCTCATATTTTGACATGTTGGTCTTTAACCCTAAAATAGCTTGGAAATAGAGAAAAATACATCTAAGATTAAACAGCATATTAACATTGGGTTGGCAGGAAATTAGGTATAGTCGGCAAAGAATAGATAAGTGATCTCAATGTTTTCTTCTTTATCCATTCTGATTTCTCTAATGAGATTCAAATTCTTTACTTGCTCAATAAGCTTGTTTAATGCTTCCATAACCATAATGAATAGTAACGAATACAACAAGTCATCTTGGCGCAACCCTTAGAAGCATTAAAGAAAGTGGAAGGACCACCATTGACCATGACAGTGAAACTTGTTATGGGCATGCAAGTATTAAGCCATTTTTGCCATTTTGAACTAAAACCAAAACGATTGAGCATATAGTCTATGAAGTCTCAGCTAACATTGTCAAAGGTCTTTTCCATCTCTAATTTACACAGTAGCCCCATCTTTTTGTCTCTATTAAGATTGTCAACTACTTTATTTACAATCAGAATGGCATCAAAAAATTTTCTTCCTTCAACGAAAGCGTTCTGACAGTCCCCGAGGATAAAATTTAATACCTTAAAAGGTCTTCTAGCCAACACCTTAGATAATAATTTGTAAACACTATCTACAAGACTGATTGGTCTAAAATCAATAAAGTTGTTGGCTCATTCTTTTTTTGGTTTCAAGATAAGGAAGGTTGAGTTGATCGATTTGACAAATGAGTCATTCTTGTAGAAATCATTGAAAAATTTAAAAATGTTATTTTTTAGCACATACCAGAATTCTTGAAAGAATTTTCGATTAAAACCATCAGGCCATAGAGCTTTGTCACCATCATTCTCTTTTAAACAGTTGTAAATTTCTTCTTAAGAAAATTCAGCTTCAAGTGTTATTCTGTTAGCATCATTTATCTTACTGAATCAACCATTTTTCAATAGTTTCTTGGTATAAGGATTTGAAATGATCTTTTGCAACTTCTCTTATGGCTTTGTTACCTATGACTAGTTGACTATTAATCAAAAATTCCTCCATATAGTTTACTTTTCTTCTATACTTCGCCAAATAATAAAAAAACCTGGTGTTATTGTCTCCATTTCTAATCCATTTTTCACATGATTTCTGTTTTCAAGATACAGTTTCTAAATGCAGTTTTTCAGCAAGTTCCTCACATAGACTATGTTTTTTCTCAACATGTTTGGGAAGGAGATCAGAATCACTTGCCAAGATATCCATTTTAGCCAGCTCATTCAACATATCGTTAGTTCTATTTTTTCCCTTCAAACCTACTTCTTTGGTCCAAGATTTAATTTCTTGTTTGAGTCTGATCAACTTTTTATATAGTTTAAAACTTGTTGTGCCTCTTACAATATGTTGGTTCCATGTCAAGCTAACCATAAACTTAAAACTGTTCACTAATAACCACTTGTTGTCAAATCAAAATGGGGTTGGTCCCCATTTGATCCCATCAGAAGTAAGGCATATAGGAAAATGATTAGATATGGGTCGAGGGAGTATCTTTTGGTTGAGACCTCGCAGAGACAGAAGAAGCTCAATGGATATAAAAAATATATCAATTATGGAGTGAGAAGGCTTGTCTTTTTAGTTGCTCCAAGTCCACTTTCCCCCTTTGAGAGGAATGTCTTCCAACCCCAGATTGCCAATATTAACTTTAAATTCTTAAGCCACAGAAGTAGAAAAAGTTTTTCCTCGATCGTTCATTGCGGTGCATAACCATGTTGAAGTCCCCACCCACTATCCCATTTTTCCCCATCTGGATTGACATTAGAGAAGCTCATTCCATAGCTTTTCTCTGTCTAATGCGTGTCCTCGGCAGTAAATTCCAGAGAATGATCATTTTTCTTCATTTTTTTTATTGACAAATAAACAAGAAATAAAAGTTTCACCTTTTATATAGTCGATAAATTCCATCAATTCTAATCTCCAACAAAT